TCTAGTATAAATTCATTCTGTTTTTTGTTTCCTTCTCATTTACATGACTCCAAATTGAAATATCATTGTCGCCTGTGTTTAGGTTGTTTCTCTTGTGGAAATGTGATAAAATTATAGACGTTTTGCGATTAGACCTTTTTTTCGATATAGAAGCTCCTATAAAAGAAAATTGAATAAAAATTATTTACATAACTTAACTTCCTATTTACAGAGACTAAAGTAAAATCGTTTTTCAGTAGCTTTCCTATAAAAGACTGATAAAATCTTGTCGCTAAGAAAGCATTAAACGTTACAAGAACTTATCCTCCGATAAAAATTTAGGTAAAAACGTAAATTCATAAATAAGTTTCCAATTTATTATTACTGTTATGGGTATTTAAGGATTCCATTCTTTTACTGTATATTGTTGTTATGCGTTTATCAATCCTATTCTTTCAACTGTCAACAGATTCATAATTTGCAAGCGTACCTTTTTTTTCTATGTTCAAACAATATTTTAACTGAACCTTCCTATATGTCAGGCTTGATATCTATGTGGCTCTGTGCATGGCCTTGGGAACCTGGAGCGGGAGGAGAACGGAGGGCTTTACCCTCAAATTATTTTGACGATATATATATAGTGCCATATGATAATATAGAAAGCAGATGTTTGTGCCCCCTCTATAAAAACGTTTGATATTTGGTAGTTGACAGTGCCTCAGAATGAAAATGTACCGGTATGGCTGTGCCCCGATCCCCCCAACTGAAATTGCTTCCTAGGGGGCTGCTTTGTGTTACTGATTTTCAAACTGAATAAAACCAAAATGTGGGGAAAATAGGCTACAATCTGATAATTTCTTAACAAGCCTTACCTTAAACAAAGGTAACTATTCAACATCCCTTGCGTACATGAATTTTTTTCTTCAATATAATATTATATACTTACATGCACATTTAATATGTGAAACATTAATACATGTATTTACTTATAATATTATGTCAAAATTTGAACACTTTATTGACTTAAATAAGTCTATAATACAATCGAATTCCAATATCAATTTTTATTTCCCGCTTTCACTACAAATGGGGCATATGTATGTTAGAACTGTCTGGACGTCCGTCCGTCTTTTTGTCAGTCTTTAGCACTTTCATCCGTTTCCTCGCAATATCCCGAGAAGCCTTTGAACTTTTGCAACGAAATTTTAGATTGAAAAATAAATAGGAGTCTTCCTTAGGCTGCGGGCGCAGTTTTACAAGAGAACTTACGACTAAGACCTATCAATTTTAAAGAGTCTTATTAATTTGGCAAAATTCTACAATCATTTGAATTTTTAGTCTTCTCGAGAGCGACGTTAAACAATATACAATCAATCAATCAATCAATCAATTTTATGACCTAATCAACGGACCAAGTTCAATCAGCGTTAAACCTTGTTGCCAGTGCATGTAAATTTTCCAACATTGATTTCATAAAGCCATATATATTTATATTTAACACTTTACTAGAACAAATAACAGTAGTTTGTGCATGATTTTACATCATTCATGGTGTGTTTAATATGCCTCTTGAGGCCATGTCTTAATTCTTTTAGCATGGCTGTAGAAACCGGAAAGGTGGGGTGTGCCCCCCAATAGTTTTGCGATAAATGGAATACTATAGCAAACACAGCTACATGCACTATTATACAATTATTTAATGCCTGAGCAGTCAATAGACCAGAATATTTTTCCCGAGGTGCAGGGAACAGCTCAGTGTGTTCTATTGCCGAGGCCGCTGGCCTCGGGCAATAGAACACACTGAGCTGTTTCCTGCACCTCGGCAAAAATTTTCTGGTCTATTGACTGTTCAGGCATTAAATAATTGTTTTATTACCTAATTTTATTTTCCGTATTAAGCATTCAGTACAGAAGGTTCCCGTACAATATTGTAAATGTATACCTAGATATGATGCATCTGTAATATAATTAAAGATTGATTGTATAGACTATTTAAAAAGGAAATGAATCATTTTCGCGCATGTTTTAAATAAAAAACATTGTTAATGCAACATTTTAAATATAAATGTAGGTTTCCTGAGTTACCCATTTGACCTTATCTATTTTTGTTCCCGTTTGTCGATACATGTATTTATTATATACCCATCAATTTCCTTGTTTTTGTTACTGTTAATTTTACAGAGTTTGATCAGATTTTCCGGATTACCACACTGTGGTTTTCTGAATCCATATCACCACTCTCTGAAACTGATGACGTAGTACGCAAAAACATGACGTTATTTTTCTTGCGCGCTAGAAAGTCCATTGTTATTATGCTTTGTTTTATGGATAAATATTATACAATATATCTCTAAAATTTTATTCTGCTATATTTAGCTAGTTATAAGGGGGTATATAATATATTTATCATTACAACAGTAACTTGATCCGAAGAGCCGTATTACGTCTCTTTGACAGGCGTGGATCATCAGATCAAACTCGACGCTTCGCGTCTCGTTAGATCTGATGATCCGCGCCTGTCAACTCGACGTGATACGGCTCTTCGGATCAAGTTACTGTTATAAATATATATTATTATAACAGTAACTTGATCCGACGTATCACGTCGAGTTGACAGGCACGGATCATCAGATCTAACGAGACGCGAAGCGTCGAGTTTGATCTGATGATCCGCGCCTGTCAACGAGACGTGATACGGCTCTTCGGATCAAGTTACTGTTATAATGATAAATTTATTATATACCCCCTTATAACTAGCTAAATATAGCAGAATAAAACTTTAGAGATCAATTGTATAATATTTATCCATAAAACAAAGCATAATAACAATGGACTTTTTAACGCGCAAGAAAAATAACGTCATGTTTTTGCGTACTACGTCATCAGTTTCAGAGAGTGGTGATATGGATTCAGAAAACCACACTGTGGTGATCCGGAAAATCGGATCAAACTCTGTAAAATCAACAGTAACAAAAACAAGGAAATTGATGGGTATATAATAATAATATATATATGTCGTATGTTCACAGTTTAATTTATTGTTTTATACCCCCCGCCTGAAAAGGTATATAGTAATCGGGATTCCGTCCTTCCGTCATTCTATACCTTCGTCCGTCTGTTACGCTTTGGGTTACCCATCTCTTATCCGCAACCCTACTCACAGGGTCTTGATTCAATCTGAGCAAAATTGAGTATATACAGATAATACTAATAGAGGGCGGAGCCCTCTCACGGGCCCGAAGGGCCCGTGAGAGCGAAGCTCTCCCTATAGGTAACACGTATGTATATAAAAAATAAAAGAAATCTATTGTAAACTATATGTCATTTACAATACCTATGGAACTGAGATCCTTGTCGCCAATATGGCGTCCTCGCTAAAATGGCGTCGTTTTTATCCACGCGCAGATTCTCGTTGTTGATGAGTCTTTCATCAAAGTGAAAACATTTAATCCAAGGATAATGTGTAGTAATTGTTTTTTTTACTTGAAATAAAACCATAAGTAATCAGACCATTTCTACTTTCGTTTTAGACTTTAAGTTCTATTTTTGGTTCGCGCTAAAAAGTATGTTCAAAGGCATTTGATTGGTCAGAATTTCCCTACGGGCGGCGCTATCGTCTGCATTTACCAAAATAGAATGAAAACATAAACAAAACAGCGTGCAAGGTTTTGTAAGTTTCTGAGGTGTACAAATGATATGGTTTAAGTAGGTTTTTCCATCAATTTTTGTATTTTTAGCATTTTCGTCTATCATTTATAAGTTTGGGATTTTTTTTAGATAATTTATTTATTTTATATATGTGAAATTTTCTACTTCAAGCTAAAAAAATGTCAAATACTGTGATAAAAACCTGTGGGGATTTACATGTTGCAAGCAATATATATGAACATATGAGTCATGATCATTGCTACACTTGCATTAATTCTGAAGAGTTACAACTGAATAATGGTTGTACATTTTCTCACAATGAGCTGCAATCACAAGAGACACAAATTGATCATGATCATCCTTTCAGTGTTTTACATATTGCAAGCCAGAAACAAATCAGTCTTGATCATTGCTACACTTGCACAAATTCTGAAGAATTGCAAATGAATAATGTTAGAACATTTCCTCACAATGAGCTACAATCAGAAGTGGCACAAATTGATCATGATCATCCTTATTGTAAAGTTGAAAAAATACCATGTGATCCCACTGTAGGTTTCTTTGTAACAGAACCATGTTCACAAGCTTCTCTTGAACAAAATGCACTTCATGAACAGAAAAGTCCAAATGCTCAATTTCTTTCTGAAACCCCTCAAAATACATTAGGATGTAATGTCTGCCCTCAAACAAATCAATCTGCACAAAATTTGAAGACCACTTCCCCAAGTGTAGATATGTGTACTTTCTTTGAATTAGATACCATACCAAGCAATAGGTCAACCAGCATTGATAACACTGAACTCAAGGTCTTTGATGTCCCAGGTGATGGTCACTGCTTTTTTCATTGTTTACGTTTGATACTTCATGGTCACATGAACAATACACAAATTTGCAGAAATATCATATGTGGTCATCTGTATGAAAACTGGGAAATGTACAAAGACACAGTTAAACTGATGCATGACAAAAACGTGCACACCAAAGAGAAATACTTTGAAAAAATGGTTTTAGGTAGTGGCTGGGCTACAGCGGCAGAGGTGAAGGTTGCATAATTATTATTTAATGTCAAAATCAATGTGTACCTGCAACATGTACCCTGTCATCGTTTTCCTTCTGAAAATCAAAGTACTTTTACTTTGGAGTCGTATGAACCAGTTGCTCAAACTGCAGGGGGAAAATCCATCTTTCTTTTGCTTAAAAATGGTCATTTCCAAGTTCTTCACAAAATCAGAAATCTCATCCAACCAACAACACATGACACATCTTGCAGGCTTAACAATACAGGTGGGAGAATTCACATACCCAATGATACTAGGAACAAACATCAAGCATGTACAAATAAAAGCAAAAGACAAACATTTACACTTGATGAAATGAATGAAGTTCCTACCAAAACAATGAAAACATGTTCTAAAGAGAGTACAGACTGTCCTGTACAGTGCAATCCAACAGCAAAGGCACGTGATCTTTTAGAAAATTCATTTAGTTTAGATCAAAATCTAAATGCAAAGTCAGCAGCAGATAAGAGCAAAGTAAAACATTCAAAAACATATGACCCCAATATTGCAGATCTGTACTTAAAATGCAGAAAACTTGGAATTCACTATGACCCTGGTCCTCCAGATGAGTGAAATGCTTCCAAAATCTTGAGAAGACAGAAATACTTGCGTCAAATTCAAAGAGTCCAAGAACAATTAGGTATCCAATTAAATGATATTCCTAAACCACCCCCCTTACATGACGATGAACATTTCAATTATGCTATGGATGCAATTCGAGCATTTGAACTCAAGGAAATGTCATACAAGTTTAATTTATGTAGTATTTGTCATGAACGAAGGTTAGAAGGAAAAATGGCATCCCAAGATAAATGTTTGAGATGCTCTGTTGATAAATCGGTAGTAAAAATGTTTTCATCAGAAAACAATATGGATCCCAATTCAGTACCCGCCGAGCTAAAAGATTTGTCCATAGTTGAACAGCAACTTATTAGTAGGATATCCCCAGCCATCAATATTCATATGCTTAAACATGGGGTATCGCTGCAAATGGTCATTGTGTAACATTCCCACAGCAAATAAATGAACCTGCACAAATTCTGCCCAAACTTCCTTCAGAAATAAATATTCTTAAAGTTCGAAGAAAGGGCAAAGATGATAGTTATAAGGATTATCGTGTAAGGAGGTTTATTGTTCAAAATGCTCTCATCTGGCTCAAGAACAATAACCCTGTATACTCAGATATCATCATAAGCAATGATAGGCTAAATCAACTCCCTTTTGACAGCCCACTTGAACTCCAAACTCTTGAACTTGACACATTTGAGAGCAAAAATGATGACCAAGGCCCAGCTCCACAGCAGTTCAAACCTGGCCCAACTGATGGTTTGTCCGATTCAGGTGTTTTAATGCCAGAACCAAGTATTGACATAAATCAAGAGGTTCATAATGTGGTTGAAGACATCGTTAATGAAAACAAATCCAAAAAAAAAAACCCAACAATGTCAATTCCCTGGCCTACAAGGGATAACATTCCCATCTCTGAGTTCACAACTAAGTACTTTTTCACTCTAGCTTTTCCTTGTCTCTTTCCCTATGGTACTGGAGATTTCCATGTAAACAGACCCCGAACATGTTCCTCCATGACAGAATGGGCTGATCATTTACTTTTGTACAAAGACAGTCGCTTTGCAAGACATCCATACTTCAAATTCATTGTCCACAATATCATTATGAGAAAGAGAACCCTAGAGCAAAGTACCTATATCATTAAGCAACAACTTGGGGATGAACACATGACAGTTTCTGAATTAAAAGAACAACTACAAAATGGCAACAACAGCATTCCTGAGAAAATTTTATATTTTGGTGCAAACTTGCGTGGGACATCACAATACTGGGCACAAAGGGCTAAAGAATTGAGAGCACTCATTCACTATCAAATAAATGAGGGGCATGGATTACCATCTTTTTTCACAACTGGAAGCTGTGCTGAATTCCATTTCAAAGCTCTACACAGGCTTCTACAGATGTACACTTATGTAACTACTGGAGAACAAGTAGATCTTTCAAATCGGAACACTCTTTTCTCAATCTTACAAGCCAATCCTCATGTTGTTGCTCATTATTTTGAAATAAGAACTCAAAATTACTTTCGAGAAGTCATGAGCCCTGTATTTAAAGTAAATACATACTGGTACAGACAAGAATTTGCAAAGTCACGTGGAATGGTCCATTGGCATGGTTTGTGTTGCCGTTCTGATAGGGAACCACACAATTTACTGTCTTCACTTATTGAAAGAGGTCTTTCAGACGATGATTGTTCAGAATATCTCTCAAATTGGGCCAGATCCAATCTTGGAATGACAGCTTCCCATCCCGCTGGTAAAGATGAACAAGGAAACTCAAAGAAAGACCTCTGGCCCCCACCTGAAGGAACAGCTCCTCCTCCACCAGAAGAGAAAAATCCACTTTTAAAGTTACTTATGGATGTTAGCGAATCTCAGGAATCTTTACTTGAAGACCACCTCCTTCTAACAAACAGAATTAATATTCACCGATGTTCCGATTACCGATTACAAATTCCCAAGCATGGGGGGAAATTATCAAAGCGAGTGTGTAGAATGGAGTTTGGAAAGAAGACCACCCTGGTAAAACTTTGCGTAGTACAGCTGCACTTGTCCGAGATAAAAATGGCTCATTAAGACTAGAGATGGAGCGCGACCATCCTCAGATTGTCCAGCACTCCTAATACCACACTCAGAGTTGGAGAGCTAATGGTGATGTCTCAATCATTCTTTCTAAAAGCAATCCAGAGAATCCCTCTGTTGATGAAATCATTGCTACAGAACGATACGTCTCTGGTTATGCCTGTAAAGGAAACCAGCCCACAGGAGCCCTTGTTGACCTTTTTCATAATCTTGCTAACAACCAAAATGAAAATTCTGGTGCCAATGCCAAAAGTATTTGTACAAAACTGCTTATGAATACTGTCAAAAGAGACATCTCTAGTGTTGAGGCCTCTTTTGAACTATCTTGTCTTCCACTTTTCCGCTGCAGTCATCAATTTCAGTCTGTTAGTCTCTCAGGCTCTAGGGTTCTGGGAAAAACTGGTTCTACTGTCACACGACATACACCTCTTGATAAAAACCTTCAAAGATATGAAAATGATACAAGTTCCTGGTACCAGTTCATTTACAAGTCTGGAAAAGTCCCAGTTATTTCTGGCAGTCAAATTAGAGCCACTTGGCCCCTAAATGAAGATTATTGTCGCACTATGATGCTGCTCCATATGCCAAACTGGAGAAAAATTGATGACTTAAAGGATAACAACAGCACATGGTTACAACTTTTCACCAACTTCCTACCTTCTGCATTTTGTCCAAATTTTGTAAGGGCAGATGTTGAGAGGGCAAGACGACATGTCGAGCCAGAGGCTTCAAACTCAGTTCCAGTAGAAGATACTGAAAATTCACATTCAAGCTCCCAACAACCTGAATGGATGGACCTCCTTGCACCAAATCCTGATTTTGATTATGAAAATTTTGACTTTAAATATAACGATGGAGGACCAGATTATGACTGGACTAGGGACACCATTCCTTACCCTGATGATAAAATCTAAATGTACAAACATTGAAAATCTAAATGTACAAACTGCAGAAAACGTTTCCAGCAATACGACCTCCCAAATGTGTCTTATGAATCTTTGAATGATGAGCAAACATTTGCTTACAATATAGTTATGGATACCCTCTCTAAATATAAAAATCAGTCTTCAAATTTTCAGCCTTTGAGGATGATTGTTGCTGGTACTGCAGGTTCAGGGAAAAGCTTTCTTATAAAGTGTCTTGTTAAATCTATCAGAGAGCTCTTTCATTCAAACAATGCTGTGCAAGTCCTTTGTCCTACGGGTAACAGTGCAAATCTTATTTCTGGTGTCACATTGCACAGTTTTCTTAAGATTCCAATTGGGCCAAAATCTGCCAAGGAAATGACACCCCAAGTGGGAACTACACTCTCCAAGTTACAGAGTGATTGCGAGAACTTAGTCGCTTTGTTTTTTGATGAAAGATCACTTGTAGGTTGTTGTACTCTCGGGTGGATGGAATATTTCTGTCGCTATACATGTAGTATGAATATGGGTTCCATGTCTTCTTCATCATGGGGTGGTTTACCAGTGGTCGTTTTTCTTGGCGATAATGTTCAACTTCCTCCTGTTTGTGATTCTCCTGTCTACAACTGTAAAAGCACTAAGCCTGCTTCACTTCACGGTGCACTTGTCTGGAAAGAATTTCAAACTGTCGTCACTCTTTCAAACATCATTCGTCAAAGTAAAAGCCAGAGAAAACTGAAAGAGGCATTACTTGCTTTAAGAAATTATAGTTTGTCAAATTCACAAGCTAAATGGCTTCAAAATTTTCAATGGGAATCCTTGAAATTAACTCATGGACAATTATTATTAGACAGAATGTTACAAAATGGTTTATTTGTTTTTCCAACACATGCTGAAGAATGGGAGCACAATAAACAGCAACTGCTCAAGGTCAATTAAATTTCCCCAATTGCCAGAATCAAATCACTAGATCAAGGTCAACACTGTAAAACAGCTTCAAGTGAGTCAACAAATGGCCTTTCAGAAACATTATTTTTATGCAGAGGTGCCAGAGTCATGCTGACAGTTAACTTAAATGTCTCTTTTGGACTTTTCAATGGCTCAATGGGTCAGGTTATAGATATTCTATACTTAACCACAAAAAACCCAAATGATGGTCTCCCTGATGTAGTAATGGTAGAATTTCCCAAGTACACTGGTCCTCCATTTATCGACAGTCACCCAAAACTTGTGCCAATTGTTGCTGTTGAGAGGAGAGTAGACTGCCACTGCTTTAATTGCAAACGAAAACAAGTACCACTTAGGTTAGGATGGGGAACTACCATTCATCGCTGCCAGGGCATGACTATAGGTGACGGAGAGGCCAGCAGATATATAATTGTCATTCATCCTGGAAATAAGACATTTGAGTCCAGAAATCCTGGAGCCTTATTCGTTGCTCTATCCCGAGCAAAATCTGCTGGTGGTAATGAAGAAGATCCTGACTCTGCTTGGCATCCCCATGTACTAGTCAATGAAGACCGACTCTGCCTAAAAGTCTGCACCGATACAACTAAAGCTCGAACAAAAGAAATTCAAAGGCTACAAATGCTTACAGATAATACCAAAGTCAATTACTCTCATCTCTTTCAAAAAATTCATTTCCTCTATGAAGAATAAATCTCTCTAAATTCCATATATCTTTAGCACATTAACTCATGGTGTGGGTGACATGACAGTCGCCGACCCTTAGTTTCTGTGATTGCCAACCCTTAAGTTTCCGTGAATGCCGACCCTTACTTTCCGTGATTGCCAACCTTACTTTCCGTGATTGCATACCCTTACTTTTCAAGATTGCTGACCCTTGCTTTCTGTAATATTCTTAATGCTATACAAAATCTAAATAACTTTTAAATGGGCTGCATTGTTTTCTTTTTCTGTGCAAAAATATCACTCTCCAGCTTAAAGATCTCTTCCTAAAAATCAGGATTTGGTGCAACGAAATCCATAACTTTGCATATCAGCACTGATAATACTCAGGCCTACACATGACAAATAGAAAACTGGACAGCTATCACCTAAAAACACCATAAAAAATGCTTACTTTCGTCTTTCACCAAAACTTAATTTCCTTTTTTAAGAACATACATCTTTTGCACAGTTAAACATATGGTGTGGGTGACATGCCAGTCGCTAACCCTGAGTTTCTGTGCATTAAGTGTAAATTCTACATAATGTTTTAAATGTATAATCTTCAATGAAGACTTCACAATTCCCTCTCCATGTCAATAAATTAAGACTTCTGTCTTTTACCTGAAAAAGCAAGTAATAACATAACTAGTAAAAGGAAAACAATAAATTTACTTGGGATGCCATTTCCAATCAAATACAATATATCAGACGACTCTATTGTTACAGTAGTGTAAAGTTATTAATTTACTCTTGATTTTTAATACAGTAAAACATTCTTATAAGTGCTTGAGACGAATTTGCTTTGTTATAATCATCATTGTTTATCGATTAAGTTTACAATATTTTTAAAAAAGTCATTGGGAATGAAAATTACTTACCTATAAGGCTAAGCACATACTTGTTATAAGTGTGTTCACTATAAGCGTGTTTTACTGTTATGATTTTTCATTTTCTTTGCAGAACATGCGGCACATAATTTTTGCCATGGACTCGAGAGGGGCAAAACTGCAAAATTATCTACAGTTTAAAGAACCTTTTGACTTTTCATACACATATCATGTCATTGTTAAACCGGGCGGAAAAATTGGCCACATCAGAACTCTTGTTGATCAAAAAATAAAACAAATTATTCAATTTGACAAATTCCATGAGATATGGATTATATTCGCTGCAGGGATCTGCAATTTGACTAAGAAAGTCACCCATGCCTGTGGTACTGAAATTGAATACGTTCAATCACTTGAAAATGTGCAGTGCATTATTTCTCAATTTAGAGATTTATTAATACATTTCCAATCATATGAAAATGTGTCTGTCATTTTAACATGTATTCCATCTGTCTCTCTTGAGAAATTTCACAATTTCAATACCTCAAAAGGCAAGTTACAGCAATCTCTTTATTCTCAAGAAGACAGAGAAGTGCAGCAAAAAAATTTAGAGGAAGATCTAAAATTGATTAATTGTTCCTTGTGTGAACTCACAACCCCTATAAGATGGGATAGGGATTTGTTAATTTGTTCCACCATAAAATGTGGTAGGAAAAACAACAAAATAAAAAAAAGTTGTAAAAACATCTTACAAGGATTTATACGATGGGGTACATCCAAATGAAGGTCTTTCAAATAAATGGTATCATTTCATGTGTTTGTCAGTTAGAAACAAAATTACAAATCAATTAGAAGAATCAGGTGAAAGTGATTCAGATGTTGAAACCCAAGAATCTTGGGACTTTAAAAGAAATTAAATTTCAAACATTAAGAATTCTCATTTGAATTACATGATTCTGTTTTTAAAAAAAAAGAAACGGATGTATCTATGTGTGTGTGTCATTGGTTGCTGGTTTTTTGTCATTTGGTAACCAGAATACGAATTTCTTATTACTTGTATTTACATTACACAGAAGATTGAGTGTAAGGATGAATTTATCATTTGTAAATTGTTATATTTGTGTTGAATGTGCATCAGTCTGCTTGTTGATTATAACTCAAAAGCGGTGGGTGACATGCCAGTCGCTAACTGCTATATTCTTGTCTTATGATATTGCACTCAACAATATTCAATTTTCTTGTTCATTGAAATACTATTATTTTGTAATGAGCTGGAATTAGTGTTGCATAATTAAAAGCATATGATGAAAATGCCGGAAAAAATTATGCATTATCGATCAAGCTGACTATATTTTTTAGCAAAAATTTGTAGCATAACCTACTTTTGAAATGTTTTATCTTTTTCCATTCTGAAGTTAATCGAGTGATACACTTGTACATGTACATGTATGTAAAAATAACAGTATGTCTTTTTTTTAAAATGGGGGGGGGGGGGTCATATCATTTGTGCATTCTGAAGCAATAGTGATCCACATGGAAGCCTACAAAAGGAGACACAGATTGGGTAACTTAAAGAATATAATACATGGTAATGAACAACATTATGTTATGTCATTTACTCAATAGTCAATATATATATATGTGTATGTAAATATCAGAATTCATTTCATAAATAAATATTTTTTGTAGATACTGAACTCTGAAGGCAAAATACATTAAAGGGTCGAAGAATATTCTGCTGTTTTTCAGGCATGAATGACATGCAAAGGTCAGTGCATAATTTTATCTGTAGAAAATAGATGTGATTATATTTAGATCAAGACAGCTACTAGCTTTTAAATGCTCCGCCCTCACTAACGGTCGCACCGTCTAAACATATTAGGGGAAAAGGGACCTAACACGCCGCCATTAATTTCTGGGTGCCTCGCTTCAAACTCTCAAAACTTTTATTTTTATTCGAAAAATCCATAAAAATGCCTTGCCAGTCGAAAGGCAGAATGTTATCCTTTATTGTCATAAATAAATCGTTAATCTTACTTCATTTAAACTTAAAAAAAAATATCCGAACTTCCGAGAATTGGGTCGCCGTCGTTAACCTCGCACCATTTTTTCATGCAATTTTCGTTCATTACCTTGATTTTCACGCACTTGTCATCCGTTGCACTTTATCTTAGAGTAGCGTTTCATAATATAACTCCTTCTGGACACCCTCACAATATTTGAATGACTGTTAATCGTCCGTCTCGAGAGATCACATCCATTTTCACCACCGATTAGCCTAAGAGGTCAATTGGGTCAGCCATATTTGAATTTCGATATCCGGTGAAGTTCCGCAGCGACGAGCGTGCACGAGGCAATTAAGAAAACAGCTATCTGATTGGTGGGATGAAAAAAGTACGGGAAAAGTCTGAAAAGAACAAGATGTTGAATGAAAGTCAACAACGTGCTCTTCAGCAGGTAGAAATGGGCCATAACATTTATATTGGAGGACAAGCTGGAGTTGGAAAGTCATATCTGGTGAAGTCAATTATCAATGCAGCAAGAAGTAAAGGGAAGAAGGTGGCATTGACTTGTACCACGGGCATTGCCTGTTCTGTTTACGATAAGGTATGGGGGGGGGGAACCCACATTTATTGTGAAATATATAAACACACACGTTTTTTTAATTATAAAACATCATAACAATTAATATTTCAACTGTTAAACAACTTAAAAAACAGTAATATAAAAATAATAAACTGTATGGTCAACCATTTTAATCATGGATTTTTTTCTCTCAGAAACTGGCATTTGCCATATTTACATGTATGTACTTAACAATACATGCTTTAACATGAGCAGATTGATAATCAGCGCCCCCCCCCCCCCCAACTTCAAATCCTGGATCCGCTCCTTCGCATGTATATTGTTTTCTCCTAGTAAAATCTTCAGTTAATGTTGGCATAATAAAACAGTAAAAGGCAGCATCTTCATTTGGCATAATCCATGTAAATAGGTCAAGTTGCTGAGCAATACAAAGAGAAAGGTTATAAAGATCTTTTTTAAAAACTCCCCATCTAGAGGGGTTAATTCATTTTAAATCTGTTGAATTTGTAATGCAATATAAAAAATTCATATGACACTTTCAGGGGGTTTGATAAAATATGTCCAGATACATAAACAGAATGGACTTTTAAACAATAAAATGCTCTTATTTGTTTGATAATACCGGGATTAACAGTTGGATATTGCAGAAAAAAATACATAATAGATGCTGCGTAAGAATAAAATATTATTTATCTATCTGTATGTTACACTTATGGAAGAGCAATGAACTAGTTGACCTTTACCTTTGATACTTCTTAAGAAGTCTTTCATACATATGGCTCTAACCGGTTAAGTAGTTCTTTGTCATATACTAGATGATTGATTAATAACAGTTTTTTTCAAATAAATAATGGAGAAAATATTCAGTGTATGTATGTACTGTAAATCACTTTTTATTCGCGAGAACTTTATTTTCGCGTAATTACGCGAGACAGTGTGCTCGCGAAAATTTAATGATCGCGTATAATAGTATTCCTTAAGATTATATAAAGCAATTACCACAATTCGTGAAAATTTTGTCTCGCTAATCAAGAGTCAATGACTATCTCGCGAAAATAAGGTGTCGCGAAAATTAAGTGATCTAGAGTATGATTTTTTACAGAGAATACAATGTAAAGATTTCTGAATGTGTTCAAATATTATTGTGTTAATTCATAGTTAAGCAGCTACAATGTCATAAAATACTTGCAGAGTATGGGTGCTATGACTATACACAAATGGAGTGGACTGGGGGGTGGGCGCTTTTCAGGAGGGAAACTGAAGATGCTTCTACAGCATGATGAAGCCTATGTCGCGGCAAAAGAAAACTTTCTTGGAACAGACTGGTTGATAGTGGATGAGATTTCAATGTTTAGTGCCCAGATGCTTGACAAGTTAGATGTAGTATGCTCTATACGGTCTGATAAAGCACCATTTGGAGGAATACAAGTGATTTTCGTTTGGGACTTTACACAACTCCCACCAGTTCGTCATTTGCGTTACGGTGATGTAGGATCTTTCTGTTTTGAAAGCAAACGCTGGCCACAGCACTCAATTTTCCTTACAGAAAACATGCGTCAAAAGGAATCTAAACTTTGTAAAGTGGTAAATGCTCTCTCTCTTGGAAGATTGGATGATGAAATATTGAATTACATGTCTTGTCTCTCGAGACCACTGCATGAAACACCAGAGACAATCAAACTGTTTTCCAATAATGTGCTAGTTGACATGTTTAATCGGGATAAAATACTTAATCACAAAGGTGGACTGTTTTGTTTTGATGCAGTAGATGAAGGCAGTAAAGGTGAACTGGACAAATTGCACCAAGACAGTTGTGGTTAAAAGTTGGAATTCCCGTTATGTTATTGAGGAATTTGACAGATAAGCTTGTGAATGGCTTAATTGGTAAAGTTACCAAAATATCCTATGAGCATGTCACTGTGCATTTCCCAAGATGTGATATTGTCGCAGAACTGACCAGAGTAGCATTTACAGGTAAGTTCTTCTGATTTAAACATATTTTATTGATAGATAATCAAAGAAAATGAACAATAAGTACACGTGAAAACAATAAGTACACATACTTGTAATTAAATGTTTATGTACAGGTAAGTTACTTAGTTAATTCTCTTCAAGAATTTCTGTACCTAAGGCATCAACAAGTTCTCTCCATCGGTTTCTGCCAATTGCAACTCTGGTTGATGTGTTTCAGTCATATCCTGTTGATGGATATAGACAAACAGATTTATTCAGAATACAAAACAATTATACAATTTTTACAAGCAATTATAACATAAAACAATAGACTATTATGTAGATAGCACCAACAATAAAATAATGGAATTGAGTAAAATGAAATTAATAGGATTGAATAACATAAATATATACTTGACATTGTTGTACCAGGATAACCCCCCCCCCCAAAAAAAAAGCCTTAAGGGGGATCCTTCTTATGTAAATGAGTAGTATGGTGTATAACAGAAATGAAAATGATACTGTACATAAGAACAAATAGGAATGGCAAAAATAATGACAATAAATATTAAAAACTATCATAAAAAGAGTACATTTGAGCACTAGATATTTCACTGACTACAGAAATAACCATTCCAATCAAATTTCTATTTTGTTACCTGTGTTTTTTATTCTAGTGTATGATCCTATGAAGAACAGGAATGTCGCCACACGTCTTCAGATTCCTCTTAAAATAGCTAATGCCCTCACCATTCATAAAGCCCAGGGCATGACTCTGGAAAAGTAAACCTTAAGACTGAGTATTGAAAATCTTCAATTAAACAATCAATAAATTTGGCAATTAATAAAGAAGATAGCTTTTACTGCTTCCAGCCTCTTTAAACTGTGTTGGGGACCAAGGATTTTGAGAGGATTACCTAGGGGCATATTTCAGCACAGATCTATTTTATAGACAGAATTACTTCAACCCTGTCTCCTTAGTTTTGGAGAAATTACATTACTTTAAATGTACTTATATATTTTTTTGCTTGTTATAATGTACAATAGCAAAGATTAAGGAATTAGTAGATAAATATTTTATCATAAATGACATACATGCACAGAAAGTAGATTTCCTTACATGATTTTACAGTGTTGAAGTGGACTGTCGAAGCATCTTTCAGGCTGGGCAGCTAGCAGTGGCTTTGGGGAGGGTGAAAGAGGAAAGGGGTCTGCGTGTGGTGAACTTCCACAGACAGGCAGTCATTCCACAGCCATACAGTGTCCTGAAGTTCCTCGAGATGACATCTTCTGAGTATTTAGCTGATTTGTCTTGCTGTCGTTTGCCAAGGTTTGTATTTCAAGTCTTTGAATTATGAAATCTTTATCACTTTGCATTTATGTTCCCTTCTACAGCAAACAGTCATATTTGTCCATATTCTCACATCATTTGCTATTGTTAGCTCACCTGAGCTAAAGGTTCAAATGAGATTTTGTGCGTTAAATAAAGATACATTTACATCACGTAATAATACTTTGTTATTATTGAAATATACACTCACAAAAGGGAATGAACTTTGACTTAACGTAATGATAAATTTAATCATAGAACACATGTAAAACGAAATTAATTTGACGTAATGCAATTTTGACCTTGCATATTAAAGAAATGAAATAATATAAAAATACATTCATTTCACGTAATAAAGTTTTAACATAATGTAAACATATTTTCACTTCAAATAATGAACTTTGGACTTCAAGTTATAAAGTGCTGACATAATGGAAGAATGTGTTCACTTCATGTGATGCAGCATTTACATGATGTGAAGATATTTTTACAACACCCCATAAAAAATTAACATAACGTAAAGATATGTTCACATCACGTAATGATAGGTTCACATAGTAAATGCATAGTTTTATGTTATAAGGCAGTGATGGCGTTCCATAGAACCGTGTATCGGAGTATATTAGACAATACTCTAACAACAACGCTATTTCCAGTTCAGGTACATTTGTGATGGAATTGAAGAAAAATGATGAAGTGTGGTTATACTCTATAGGGGACAGTCAAAAAATCAGAAGAAACCATTTATAATATTTTTTCCCAACTTCATATACTGAAAAATATTGATGAGAGCTTTTCAAAAAAATATTTGTAGAAAAAGAATTAGATATTTATCCTGATCTTTTGATGCTTTTTGACTCTTGTTCTTGATTCTTGGTTACGTCTAATGTCAAGCATGTATCTTAACATCTGAATGAATTTCCTAATTAATCGTAAAACAAAAATTAACTCCACTTTGTTTAATTATTATAATACAGAATTTAATATTTTTTTTTAAAAAGAGAATTTTTTTTATCCTGAATTAAAAATGTCGCTATGCTTATGTCAAAAAGTGAAATCCCCCCTTTCTGAGTTTAAAATACTAGGTATTTTTTGTTGAAAATTACATAATGATTATCAAATATGTGGAGCATGGATAATAAATTAATAATTTTATTAGTTAATTGATTAATTATATTTTTCAAGCTGAGGAACAAATAGCAAAAGACTTTGCCAAGATTGTCTCTGATGCTATTTCTGACTACCAGGTATGTAAGATACCTAGATGTATTCATTCTTTCAAAAAACAATATGTACTAGAGGTACATATATACATATTTATAATAATTATGGATGAGCAGAAATTACAGGAGAACGGACAGTGATCATGTAAATAAATCATACTTTCCAAATGCGTCAAACTGACACTGTGTAGGCCTTTCAACTGTCGCTAGGGGTCGGTTTTATAAACGATAACTCACTTTTAAAACATGTTGAGAACAGGCTTGGGGTATCTAGATGTTTACACGAAAGGCAGTTTTAAGCATTTCCCAAGTGTTTCTTTGCTCTCAATAGAATCCTGTGGTTTTAAAATTTAGCACCAATGTTAAACTTGTTTACTGAATAGTTGCGGACACCATTTCACTGCATCTAATTAAAAGTTTTAATTAACGAGGTCGAGTCTAATTATTTCTGCCCTAGGGATTTTGATAATTTTTTGAAAATTAATTTTTACTGTTATATTTATTGTTTAAGGATTAAAAAAATCGAATGTTTACCATCCCGATTTCTTAGTGAGCCATCTTAAATGTTGTCAAACTTTACTATTGGACCCTATGGGAATTGTTGGAAAATCGCCAAATTATTACATTTTTTCCATATTTTTTGTATTTCTGCCCTAGGGATTTCTTTTTCAGTCAAATCTATGAAAGTTATTGTTAAAAGTCACTAAATTGTGAAATTTCAAAAAAGTTCACCAACTCGATTGGTCTAGGTAGTAATTACTTATTTTATTTTTTCGAAGCCAAATACCTATAAAATGGCCATATTACGGTATAAATACATATATTTGCTGATTAATTATCGGTTCATACAATTTTTTTTGGCATAAATAGCAATTTTTAGATTGCTAGTATGTTTCTTTGGAAGTTATGTCATCAAATTTTCGTATAATATCCATGGACGTCTTGAACATACAAGCGAGCCATGCGTCATTCTTCAGCGTCATGCATTGCTTACAAAATCCGAAAATGGTGACGTTATTTGAGCCATTTCAAGGTTCTTTTTTCCAATAATTGTCATAAAATAACATTTTCAGATCAGTAGGAGTTACAAATAATGTTAATTTTGTATTGAAATTAAAATAATTTTCAAACTTGTACTGTCACACAAATGACTGCATGAAATTAAAAAGCTGCGCAAAGTGATGCGCACTCGAATTAGTCTTGGCCTCGTTAAAATAAAAAGTGAAATCTTCCCTCCTTCTTAGTTCTAACCTTATTCTAAAAATTTTTACTCTCGGTCGTTCCCCTTCGTGCTTAGTAACACAAGTAAGTTGATCAACTGCTGCATTTACTTGTAAAAATATATATATTTATATAGGAAGCGAAAAAGCGCGAACACAAAAAACATGACATTAAATTTTATTCTTCATAATAATCGTCAAAGAGAGTTAAAAATATTGAATATAGTCTGTTCCCCATTCATCTGACCCTGTTATTTCAGGTAGAGTTAATACATTCTCATTTTCATGGTCAGCACTTTTGTGTACAATACAATGTAAGGAACCCTTTTGTGAACATAACAATACCAATTCTTAAGCAGCCTATATGTCATTCCTATAGTTGGTCATTTTTCACACCTGAGTTACCTAATCCTTAAAACACAACATCGGAAAAGTCAATTATAAATAATTAAACTTTTTAATGGTGTAATTAAATGTATGCAAAAGTTATTATCTTTCTTGATAATTTCATGTACCTATAAATCTATCTATGCAATGTTTTTTTCCATATGTGCAACTTGAAAAATTAGTTGAAAGGCCTACACTGTGAAAAGAAATATTCACCTGTTTATTGTTATCTTGTAATTTGATGACAGCAACTTCCGTTTCTCTGTGATGTGTGAAAATTCTTTGTACACCATAGTACATGAACTCATTTTAGAAAACCAATTTGTGAAAATCAATACATGTACTGTTATCAGAATAGAGAGCACTTATAATTCATAAACTATCTCCCGTAGTGCTATATTGAGGGTGTTGTTATTCATGATACTCTTATTAATTTAATTAATGGCAGGTCAGTAATCACGAAACAGTGCAAAAAGAGCTTAATTAAATGTGAACCTACTAAATTAAGTAGGAGGGCCTTAAAGGTCAATCCCATTTATAAATAAGGGGGCATGCAGAATAATCACTATGATATTCACCTTGGAAGATTGATTTATTGTATACTGTTTACTGTCCCTCTCGAAAATTTTTCACTCGTATGGAGACGCCACTACTTGCCGGTGGAGAGCTTCAAATTTTGTCTTTTACTCCACACTTAGGGCCATTGAG